AAAAGCCGCGGGAAAATCGATGCCTCTCGCGCTAAATCGGCCTGCAAATTTCCTAGCAAATGGCCACTGACGAGGCATTGCTGATTTCGATAACGATAGACACTTGAATGAAACGAAATTTCGAAGATGCTCGGTCAATTGTAAAAATCACTCTTCTTTTAGAAAATTAGCTTTAACAAGTCCGGGTGAAAGATGTTGGTAGGTGTATACCTGTAGGTAATAGGAAGAGTAAAGGTTGTTGGATGTTCCGTGATCTGTTTAAGCGTATCGATCCGCATGGATTTTAAGTGGAAACGTTGAAATAATGGAAAGTTATCGGGATAGGTTCGACAGCGAGCTTCCGGCCGATTCGTTCCCGCTATCGACTTCGTTTCTTCCGGGCAATTTAATTTGCTAGTGTCAGCGCGGTGCCGAAATTATCTACCCTCTCGGCCGTTATTATTAACGTTATTCGCAAAAACCTGCCCTCCAGGCCCGATCTCCTCTGTTTCTGCTCTCTGCTCTATCACCGGAGATATCGTCGAAACAATTTACACCCGGTAAACTTTTCGGAATTAAGGGAAAAGGACGGAATTAATTCGGTATTTATACGATACCATCTCCCCGCTAACGACTCGAACAATGGACAAACTTTCCCTCGTTACGACCAAACTGTACAGATTTTTTTTTCAATCTCGAGAAACGGAACCAGCCTTCGGGCTGTCGCACGTCATTCACCCCGGAGGAACGAAATTTTCACACCCTCTTGCTCGGGTTACAGACTATCCGGCGAATTAAACACGATACAACACAGGATGGTAATTAGAAGGTGTTTTATCAGTTTTCTTAATTAAGGTAATTGTTGAAAATTGAAGATATCAACTGGTATTCTCGTGTCTCTAAATGGTAGGTATCTACTTGAAGACGGAGAAACTAGAAAATAAGATCGAAGAAGAAAAGAAGGAGAAGGAGGAAGCTCGTAAAATTGAAGGAAAGATCGAGGAAATCGGTGGAACTCGTAAACCACGTGGTCCCTCGTAAACTTACCCCTTATCCCGAGGAAGGCCAGTTTGACGAGAGAGGAACAACCACCCCTGGTCCCTATTCCGCTGAAAACTCCGAAAAACCGCCGCTCCTCCGGGAGCCAGGGCTCGTAAAGCGCGTTTAATACTCCGAATTGCTACCATCGAGAGTCTCCAGTGAAGAAATCGATGCGGCAATTTCGGGAGAGGTGGGCCCACAGATCGGATAACCCTCTTTGCTACTCACAAACGCCGCGCCGGTTAGCCTCGCGCTATCACCGGAGATCTCGTGAAAACCCCGAATTTCAGCCTGACCATATATATATATATATATATACCTACGTGCGTACATACATGTCCCTCGTGATTTACATTTCGAAGAGGGAACGAAGAGGCGAAAACGACACCGTTTAACGCTGTGAATCGAGAGACAGAGCCGAACTGCGCCGAATACCTTGTAATTTTCCACTTTCTATTCGATCTGAGCTAATTAATTTACCGCCAATTAATTACCGACAATTGCTCCCGCTCTAATTACGCGCGCTCGATTAGAATCTGCGAAAGTTTACGGGCCGAGTCGAACGTCTCTCTCTCTCTCTCTCTCTCTCTCCCTCTCTCTCTGCTGATTTCTCCCTAATGATAGCCTAAACGCACGACGAATCTGTTTCTTTTGTGTACACATAATAATAACGATGATAATAACAGTAATAAGTATGGTCCGAGGAGGGGGACCGATCGAATTATCTTCACAGTCTCTGGCTTGCGTTAATTACCCGGCTAATTAAGAAACGAGCGGACCGTATTGGAACCGCTTTGACGGAAAGTGAGCGGAGGATGAACGGTTTTGGATGCCAGATCGATCAGATTAATCCTGGCGTATGCAAAGCGTGAGAATGATGGAGGACTCGAAATCCTATCGCAAATACCTATATCCTATTAGTCGGAGAGTTTGCACGACGCTAGGGTGAGAGGACGCGAAGTACGGGAGGAATTTTCGATGGAAGAAACTGCGGTGTATCGAGTTGAAATCGGGTCGAATAAAAGCGGCGCGTAGGTTCTGGAGCAGATGAAGGCAGCTTTGTGGCGCGATATCGCTAAGTGGAAATCAGTAGATGGGTGGCGCCTCCGCCCTTTAAGGGCTCCTCTCGCGCTCCTGGAATCGCGACGCCGCGGCGTGCCGCGCTACCGGGAATTTGTTAACTTCGTTCAAATATTGCCATCAACACCGAGCTCCATTGTCTCCGAGCCTAACCGGACGATTAACCCTGCCCCACTCCTGCTCCCCCCCCTGAGAACAGTGCCGCGTTTTCTTTGCCTCGCGCAAAAACCCGCTGCTAGAAGCTTCTCGAGAATGTGCTCGTAGAACAACTACGAGTTCTCCATTAGAAGTAACCGGGGAAATGTGAAGTGCAGAAGTATAATTGAGCTTGCAATATTCCGTCTGCAGTATTCCACTCTGATGATTGAACCTTTGCACCCTTAATTACTTCCTTAGATTTGCTCTCGGCTAAATCGTCTTAGGTGTACGAAGAGAAGTAGCTCGTGGTTATTTAGACATGTAGTTTTTATTTCTTTGTTTTTATATGTAAGTATCTGGTGACGTGGTGCAAAGGGTTAAGAATGATAATATTCCCATACAGAGCTTTACAGCTTTGCGTTTCCTTTTGATCATCATTTTTACGATTGTCAATTCACCATCTCGAATGGCCTGTTTGTTAATCGCGTAGAATCTCGACGTAAACTCGACTGGTTCGCAAATCCCACAATACATGTAGGGGATTTTTGTGTGGAGGGATAGTAAACTCGAACGGACTTTTGACTATAATATATTTATTAATAGTTTATATCGCTACGCTAGGGATGTCGCTCAATCAATCGCTGGATTCACACTGCCTTTCGCTCCCTCGCATTCGCCCTAATGTCATCTTGCATACATGCACACTTTTCGTTGGAAGAAAACACACACGCACTCACGCACTCCTCGCCTGATTACTAAAACTAAACATTCGTTCAATATCTTTCGCGCTATCCCAAACACTCGACCTGGCATGCCGGTCCTTACCGCTCACGCCATAGACCCTCACGCATTCACACAGACAACGCACTCACACTCGATCATCCCTACATACATGTATATTGTTTTTATTATATTATTTCGTTGTATCTGACTGATAATAACGTGAGAGAATGCAAGCGTGTTTGTCGTTATAGACTGTGACGACTTTTGTACGGATAGGTTTGTGAAAATCTGTGTATGATGTTATTGTAATTATTTCTTGTTATTTACTGTTTTCTTTTCCACACTTCTCTTCTATTACTGTCTTTTCTCTTTTTCTCTCCACAGAGTGTTTTCGAACCGATGGGGAATCTGCGTGAAAAGATAATTCGAAAATATAGTCGAACGTTATCTCGTAGGAAGCTTCGTCGATATTGAAGATCCATCGGGTTTTCCATTCCTGTTTTCCAACGTTCGAATGCAAAAATAATTCTCTCCTCCTTTTAAATTTTCTCGTACTCTCATTTCGTTGTTTATCCTTCGCTATCTAGTGCAGGCAGCTTGCAACGGTGTCTTTTAAGGCGCGTTTAGACCAAACGAGCATAAATGCTGTATATGCGAAGAATGTTTGAAAGTGGGGAGCGAACGAGTATTCGTTCGTTTGGTCTAAACGTACCTCGACGTTAGATTTGTTCAGAGACGAAGCTTCGCACGACAAAAAGTGTTACTCTACGTTTTTGAATTATTTCTCCATGCGGGTCCACCCCTTTTCGGATTGTACTGTATTTATGTAGGGACGTATAAGTGAAGGGGGGCCAAGCAAGGACACGAGAGAAATTTGGAGACCTCCTAAGAGGCGAGGAACGCCTAATGACAGTGAGACAAAGAGGCCTTAACAACATTGAGTGACGCAGGACACGAGCCCGCGGCGCTTCTTTCCTCCCTTAAGGGACGGGAAGCGGCGCACGGGACCACGCACGTCGTACGAGGAAGCTGCGGTTTTTTGCCACGACTGTAATTGAGCCTGTCTCGTCGAGCCACCGTCTCTAAATGAATTACGAGGCGC